GACATTAGAGTCTCTTATCTCAATTGTTCCAAAAGTTCTATGAGTTTTCTTATATAAAATCATTTTTAACGAAAGATCGTGAACCATGCACACAATTATTAGCTATGAGCAAAATTATGACCACATAGTTAATACGACCATGGTTCATGACAAACGTATACAAATCAACTAATGTATGATACGTAAATATAAATTTGACGGTGGAATTAAATATTTAATTCAACGGAGGTAGTTTTGGTTGATCCAAATTGAGGGGTTTCTCTTTGATGTAGATGGTGTATATTTTATTATTTATTTGATACATCCCTTGCTAGGTCGACTGTTAGAAAAAAAAAACTAATTAATGTTTACAAACTTAGAAACTTTTGACATGTATATCCATCAAAATTATCAAACTAAACAAAAGCCTGCACCCTTTTAAAATGAAGCCAAAGAAACCATAACCACATTAATCAGAAAACCCTAATTTTGTTTTGTTTTTCTCCAGTATCTCGTTAACTGTGAATTCCTATACTATACAATATAATGATCTATATATCAATATTTTATTTGCTTATGTCGTTATTCTGGAAAAAGAAACAAAATCATGGAAAAAACACTAAATAAAAACAAATATATATGCAACTTCATTTTTTGTAAAAAGGATATTTTAAAATGGCAAAAGGAAAGAAAACAACATACACACAGCCATGGCTTACTAGTTTATGATGATATCAGCCCAAGATATACCCAAACAATATATATATATACACATTCTTTAGAACTCTAATTTATCACTTTTCTTTTGTTACAAAACTGTGCCCCAAATAAGAAATACTTCTATTGATTCAGCTTTAAGTCTTCGACCAGGAACGAAATATATTAGACAATATACTGAAATGTTAGTTCTTAAGATTTATTTATATAATTATGCAACTTGACTTATTCGAAATTATAATATAATAAATGCATGTAACTTATAATATATTACATTCGTAATAAACGTTAAGTCATGACTTTACATATAGTTGTGTAGTTCACTAGTACGAACATTCCAATATTTTGAAGAAATATTACCTAATGAAACGAGCAAATTTTGGGAAAGTGAATGAAAACAAAGTTCTCAAAAGATAATTAGAATGCATTATGATTTATTCCGTACGTTATTTTTACGGTGAATCCTTAAGGCGTCAAAAACACTTTGTACGTGGCGGAGTGCTCACGACCCAATAATCCTCCGGAATCAGAAGGTATATTCCTTGGAATGTACCTTTTTTTTTTTATTCATTTTATTGTTATGGAATATTTTATCCAATTAAAGTTCAGTGTATACAATAAACATTAATTTTTTCTGTCTTTAGCTAGTTGTTATCTGTTTTTTATTAGAAAAGTGTAATTTTCTATTGAGTGTTATGTGAAAGACATAGATGTGACCTGGATTTAAATTATTTATTGTCGTGGTGTGGTTCTTTTGTGTTGCGTCGCATTATTTCGTTTTTATTAGGTATATACACATTTATTTAATTAAATATCGCAATGATATTTTCAGCATCATCATCACTTATGCAGCTATGAAAACATTCATCTCAGGTTTTATTTGGATCACATGTGTGTTTTGGATCGAATGATAGCATGATGGCTAGATTTGAACTAGAATTATGCATTCAAAAACAATGAAAGTTTTTGTTGAGTTCTGAAAAACCAAAAAGCCCCGAAAACAAAATTAATGCAATGAAAATTTCATTAAAAAACAAAGTATTATGCATTCAAAAACAATATAATGTTTAACAACAAAAAAAAACAAAACGTGATATATTAGGAAAATAGTAATAATTAATCTACTCAAGATTCCATAAAAGCTAGTATAAGGTGTGTTTGTGACTGGCACATGACTCAGACTCGGTGATTGTTCTCCCCCACTTTGCAGAGGAACCTCTCTTGTCCTTTGGAATCTCTCTTTCTTTCGGCTTGGAATCTCTCTCTTCGGTTCTTTCCTCAA